TTTATCAAATAGCTCTTTACGTAACATAATGGCTTGTCGAATAGATTCTTTGAAACTCATATCGTGTTCACGTCTGAGTCTATTAGCTGACTGGAGAATCTGTTGTTGGGTAGGATCTTCTTGCAACTCGTAAAAGTCTATTAGAAATTGACCGTATTTTTGTCTCAGTTTCTTTCTTAATTGAGGTAATTCGTCATTAGCAGCGCGATGGTAAGCTTCTTTAAAAGTATGTCCTTCATCTATATACTCCTGTACTGTAGCTTTAAATTGCTCCATATAGGATTGTCTAATTGGTTCTTTAAACCGTTTTTCCCATATGTTAAGACGCATGCGTTTTTCTTTGAGCTCCTCCCTTCTACGCTTGCCTGGGGGTCCATAGAATAAAAGACTTTTCTTCATTTTTTCGTTCTGAGTATCATCATCATCATCATTATCATCATCATCATTATCATCTACAACGATAGCATTTTCAAAATTATCCTCAGACGAGTGTCAATCGCCACTTAAGTAGCTATAATTATCATCCGTTAGATTTCTCTTCTTGATAGTGTTGAAGTCAAAAATTGTATCGCGTAAACGGTCATGTTCTGGAGTAAAGGATTTCAGGTCTATTATTAAATAGCAATGTGGTTTTGATGTTGCCTGTTCGAACTGTTTCATAAAGATGGAACTCTAGGTGGGGTAAATTCTTCTTGCTAGCGTTGCCACTTGCTGTCTGTCAATAGGATTATTGAACAATATCAGGTACTGCGTATTTAAAGCGATATCCCTACAGGCTTTTCCTTGAGGGAATAAGTTTAGAGTGAGATAGATGATAGATATGTTTCTGTGGTGACTGCCCTTAGTTAAAAGATCAGCAATTCTTTGATCGCATTTGGCTTATGTCATTAAATCGTCAAAAACAATCAAGTTCCTTTTACCGGTATTGATGTACTCTTGACTCTTCAAGTAGTCGGGAATACCTCGCACAAATTCTATCCAGGGTATTCTACGTTGAAGTTCATCGTACAGAGGCTGCCATAACACCAAATGATGCGCTCCGATGGCGATTTACTAGATCGGATAAAATAAGTGTTTTAGTCTTACCTCACCACAGATTGGTTTTTATCGGTACATGGACATTTGCCCCCACCCTACTCTTAAGCTTATGTTTGAATCATAAAGCACTTATTTTAATAATAATGCGTTTTGATGTTGCATTTCTATTTAATCATAAGTTTGACAGAAGATTAGCCAATTTACAAACAGGGGGTGGGGACATTCTCACATTTCCATCGGGGGTGGGGGTAGGGGGTAAACATCTAATGATGCACAAGTCTCTAGAGGCACTAGTGTCCTGATGAGCTTGCGGGGGAAAATGTTCTGGATTGTTATTCATATATCAAACAACATGATGTCTTTGGTTTTTTTGTTTGCTTTTATGCTTGACTGCTAAATGCAAAAACATCAAGCCCAATCTGCAGACTGGTACAACAAATATTCTTAATGAACTTCATTCTGGATTGGTTCCAAGATATTTTCCAGCATTCAGAATTGGTCTCTAAATTGATATAATTTTATCTTGGAACACTTGTTACAATTCAGTCTTTGTACAACTTTGGGTTTCTTTGGTACAACTTTGGGTTTCTTTGGGAACTTCAAATGAGATCTTTGGACAGTTTACCATATTCTTACAAAATAGTTTCTCTAATGTAGCTGTTTTTACTAAATTAAATTCTACATCTCCACCAAATCTCCAAAGATAGCCTTTGGTCTAGTTTTTTCTACAACAATACCAACATAGAATTCTACAGCATCTATATCTCCATATATTTCTTCCAAGTCTTTAGCTACTTCAGTATCTCCTGAAATGATAAGGGAACTACATGTAAATAAATCTGTTGAGAATAAGTTTGACATTTGGTCATTGATAACTGAGGAATATTCTTGTGACTGCTAAAGAGACATTTTACAATGTGTCCTTTTTCTAACAGTGTAATATTTATATATTATATTTGGATGGTTTTCTAGCACACGAACTAAACAAGACCCAATTGATGGTTTATATATTTTATTAGTATTATATTATGTATTAAATCCAAGTATAAACTCAAATACACATCATATCTACAAGTAAACTTATATACAATAAAAATAATAATTTATGACATTAAAGGCATGGCTTAATCTATCTTAAAGGCGTGACTTAATGTAAATTCCTGACTTTAAACAGGGCCAATAATTAGCAAAGCCAATAATTAGCTAACTTTATTCCTCTTTTTTACTTCCTATTTTTAAATCAAATTATAAATGATAACAAAAATTATTTTTGAAAACAATATAATTGCAAGGACCATTAATTTGGTTACTTATTTTCTGAGTTGTAACCTTTTGTTTTGTTTTTTAATGTTCAAACCCAAAACCTCCTGAATAATATAAATGAACTTGTCCAGCATCTACATTTGGTACTATTCATCATCAAAATTGGGGATATCAAGACAAAAATTTGAAGTTTGTCAGGATAAAGACTGGTGAGTCTGCAAGGTTGTGCAAACTGAATAACCTCTGTGGCAAAGACTATATACATGTATCATAAAAACAACTCAACTCACCGGTCAAATCTTCAAATGTTTGATAAGGTGGTAAACCAATTGATTAAATGACTGGTATCTAAGTGACCTTCCATGTAATATAGTCTGCTTAGATACAGGAAGGGTGTACTTTTTGTGGTAATGATGTGTAAACTGAAAATATAAAAAAATACATAAATAAAAACATAATAAATAACATACCCCTTCAAATGAAATAAAATGACAATAATTTACTGTATCACAAACAATTAAAGTTTCATAACATTAAACATATTGTTCAATTTTAGGAACATGAGCCCCCAGGGGGGATTGACCCTTGTGACCTTTGAATACATGACCTCCAGAAGGTCAACAGATCAGAGGCTGTAGGTGGAAAGACATGTTATTATCAAAGTTAATAATAATATATAAATGCTCTTAATAGAAAAAAAATGCATTTTAACTTTCAATTATAAGCCTTAACCTAAACCTTGTCATGTAAGTATTATTGAAATTCAATATATTGAATAAACATATAAGGTACCTTTAATTTGTTTCACTCTTTTTTTAGAAGAACAAGACAAGACAATTTGTTTATTTAAGTCTCGCTTTTGTACATACTTTAACAGAATATAGCAAGGACGAGACTATATGAATCAATACCTAGAAAATGTTTGAAAACCTTTATATTCTACGTGATAGTTATGTAACAATTTGCTGTAACAATTAGCGAACTTCATTTTGAAATTCATTATTTTAGAATTTTTTAAACAATTTAAAAAGAAAGGTAGATATTTCATTTAATCACAACAAATAAAGTAAGCATGACTTCAGAGTTGTTATATTTTTATGGTCTTATTGAAGATTATAATTGCACCGCTAATGCCGGCGTGTGCCAGTGAACTCAATGCATGTTGCTCTTCTACATTATCTCTCATAAATAGACTCATTCAAACCAAGTCTGTCATTTTCCTATAATATTGTTGTTTTCGTTGCTGCCGAGGGATCAACATTTTCCATTCTTTTATTGTTGTGTTTGCAGAAATACATGTATTTCGTTTTTTTTTTCTACCGCTGGTTCCATTATCCCTACCATTATCCCTACCTAACCCTGTATAACTACAATTGGGCTATGCTTTTTAATATTGTCTTGTTGACTATAATACTCGTGGTTCATATCCTCTGACCCTTTCAGTAACCTTGCATTTAATTAAGTACAGCCTATTGTGTCTAGTATTGGGTACATCAGCTTTATTTGGGGACTTTTCAGTTTCATTTTTTGCCGTGGCGACCTTCAGGATTTTTCAGGTTTGAAAAATTACGCAGAAATATGTAAGAATACAACAAAAAATATTTAAATGGGAACAATCAACCGATAAGTATATTCGTCTACAAGAGTGATCTTTTCATCAAAATCTGTTGATTCAGACTCTAAATTCATGAACCCTAAAGTATTTCAGTACCTTTTCTTTCCATTATACCCATTTTCATCTCCATTATTCCATTCTCCCATACCTCCCTTTTTGTCATTTTTTTTTTGTAAGTGCATATTTAAATGTTCCCATTTCAGTATTTTAGTTGTCCTTATTAAATTGTTACAGTTAAAACTGAAATTAATATAATCAATAAATTTGTTTTTTGTGGTTTTAGTTTGTCCCGTTTATTTGAGATACCATAATATATGCCATGCCTGTCCTTGTGGAGCTGGCTATTTTGGATATACGTGCGTGTGCGCGCGTATTGATTTGTCTCTTTATGTGAAAGTTGCTTATCTACCTTTGTTGGTCTTCACGCTCAAATTGTGTGATCAGTGGTAGTAAAATGGTTCTTTTCTTATTCAGACACTTTATTTTGACCTTTTTTCTTTATTTCAAGGTGGTCTTGATTTCTAAAGTGGCTTTTTTTTAATTTTCTGAAAATTTATTAAAGCTACGTGCGTAATAATTTATGAAAATTGTACCTCCTTTGAAGCAATTTCATATACGCATTGTTCAGCTACAGTCATAATTGTAAACGACTTCACAATATTGAATATCTTGTTCAACAGGATCATATTTTCTTAACATGTTCAATGTTGGAAGCTTTTAGAAACCCCCGTTTATCTGCTCCTGGGACTAACCAGTACTACAGCAAAGTGAATAAAGCTTCTTGCTCATTTCCCTGACGGGATTTACATCCACATGGCCAGCAAGGCCAACGCGTTAATCACATCCGCGCCACTTTTACTATTTAATGTTGAAAATTTCAAACTTATGAATGTAAGAGATATTGCGCTTGTCATTTTTCGAATGAACACAATCAATCAACTTGATTCTCATGTAAACTCTTTTCCTCTGTTTCAATTATTCTTATGGGATTCCTCATTTTCAGAATTTCTGAGATTTGGGCGTGACTCTACTGAAATGTATTTCTATCCAGACATAAAGAAAAGAAAAGAAAACAAACATGGAATTAATAAATAGAAACACATATTTACTTCAAACAAAACATAAATCACAAAAATATTTTACATATAATCAATTATTCACAACACTTTTGGTAAACAATGGAAATATCTTTTAAAAAGTTATGTACATTTTGTAAACAATATATGTAATAATTTGAAATAGATATGAAGAAATTTATAAATTTATTGTTTTAACAGATCTTAATATTCAAATAAAGGTCAAACACTGTGCTTATTTAAAGCAACAATACTCCAGGTGAGCCACAATACTTAAAAAAAATCAACCTTGAGAAAAATGTACTAACATATTTAGTAAAGTACAATATTCACAATTCAACAAATAATTTTCCTGTTTTTATGCATTTAATGACTAATTTTGAAATATTTATCACTATATTTCTGCTGTGTGCCTTAGGCAGTAAAGGCTATTTTGACATATTCTGGCCTTTTTGTGGTAATTTTTTTGTAGACTTAAAGTTCTGTTTGAAAAGTGTACATTAATTTCTTCTTTTCTCACTTTTAAATAGGATGGTCTTCATTCAGATATTGTATCAGTATAGCAATTACAGTAATTAAAGATGGTAAATTTCAGGTGAATGATATTACAACTCTTTGTACATGATTCACACTTAATCTTTATCACAAAGGACAAACACTATATGTCCACATATTTCATTAAACAACAGTATACATTTATTTTATCACTTTTAACTAGTTTTATTTCAATTTTGTACAGTACAAATATGTATTGGCTGGTGGACGTTGTATTTTAGTGGTAAATACAAGTGTGAACATCAAAGTTGGATCTTACACACTTTGAATCCATGAATGTTAACTTACATTAACTACTACTGTAGATGAACTAAGTCTGCAACATTTTTCCATTTTTGGGCAGCCTCGACAGTTCTTATCTCACCACAGATTGGTTCTTATCGGTATGAGGACATTTGTTTTGCCCCCACCCTACTCTTAAGCTTATGTTTAAATCATAAAGCACCTTTTTCAATAATAATGCATTTTGTTGTTGCATTTCTATTAAAACAAGCTTGACAAAAATTAGCAAATTTCCAAACCGGGGGTGGAGACATTTTCACATTTCCATCAGGGGTGGGGGTAGGGGGCAAACATTTCATGATGCACAAGTCTATAGAGGCACTAGTGTCCTAATGGGCCTGCAGGAAAAATGTCCAGGATTGTTATTCTCATATCAAACAACATGATGTCTTTGGTTATTATGTTTGCTTTGATGCTTGACAGCTTAAAATGCAATAACATCAAGCCCAATATGAGGACTGGTACACGAAATATTCTTAGTGAACTTTCATCCTGGACTGGTTCCAAGATATTTTCTAGCATTCAGAATTGGTATTTGAAATGATAAAATTTTCTCTTGGAACACATGTTACAATTCAGTCTTTGTACAACTTTGGGTTTCTTTGGTACAACTTTGGGTTTCTTTGGGAACTTCAAATGAGATCTTTGGACAGTTTACCATATTCTTACAAAATAGTTTCTCTAATGTAGCTGTTTTCACTAAATTAAAGCCTACATCTCCACCAAATGTTGATGGTTTCCAATACTGAGGACTGCATATAGGTGCAGATAGAAGTCCTTTCACAGAAAATGGCCCACCTAATTCTATCACAGTTGATCCAAAGATTGCCTTTGGTCTAGTTTTTTCTACAACAATACCCACATAGAACTCTACAGCATCTATATCTCCATATATTTCTTCCAAGTCTTTAGCTACTTCAGTATCTCCTGAAATGATAAGGGAATTACATATAATAAAACTGTTAAGAATAAATTAGAGAAAAACTGAATCCTTTAAGAAAGTCCAGCCACAACAAAATTGTAAATGTTGCAGGCTCGGTTTGATTGAGCCTGTTCATGAACGGTACTGGAAAGTGTAAGTTACCGTCCGCGCCCCCTAGCACTAGCTTAAGCAGAATTCAACATTTAACACGAAAATGGTGAAGTTTTGAGATTTGGTCATTAATAACTAAATATTCTTGTGCTTGCTAAAGAGACATTTTACAATGTGTCCTTTTTCTAACAATGTAATATTTATATATTATACTTGGATGGTTTTCTAGCACACAAGTTAAACAAGTCCCTAAGAAATGGTTTATATACTTTATTATATGTGTTGCATCCAAGTATAAACTCACATTTTATCTGCAAGTAAACTTATATATAGTAACAATAACAATATTTGATATCAAAGGCGTGGCTTAATCTATCTTGCTTACTTCAAACACGGCCAATAATAATCTAACTTTAATCCTCTTTTTTACTTCCTATTTTTAAATCAAATTATAAATGATAACAATAATTATTTTGGAAAACAATAAAATTGTAAGGACTATTAATTTGGTTACTTATTTTCAGAGTTGTAACCTTTTGTTTTGTTTTTTACGTTCTATTACCCAAAACCTCCTGAATAATATAAATGAACTTGTCCAGCATCTACATTTGGTACTATTCATCATCAAAATTGGGGATATCAAGACAAAAATTTGAAGTTTGTCAGGATAAAGACTGGTGAGACTGCAAGGTTGTGCAAACTGAATTACCTCTACTGCAAAGACTATTATACATGTATTATAAAATCAACTCACCGGTCAAATCTTCAAATGTTTGATAAGGTGGTAAACCAAATCTTTTTCTATATTGATTAAATGACTGGTATCTAAGAGACCTTCCATGTAATATAGTCTGCTTAGCAACAGGAAGAGTGTACTTATTGTGGTTATGATGAGTAAACTGAAAATATAAAAAAAATACATAAATAACATATCCCTTTAAATGAAACAAAATGACAATAATTTACTATAAAATGATGTTTTTGTATCACAAACAATTAAAGTTTCATTATATCAAGCATACTGTTCAAAGGAACATGTGCCCCCAAGGGGGATTGACCCTTGTGACCTTTAATCACATGAACTCTAAAAGGTCAACAAGATGCATGATCCTCTAAAGATCAGAGGCTGTAGGTGGAAAGACATGTTATCATCAAAGTTAAATTTTAGTGACAGACAAACAGACGGACAGTCAAATAAACAAACAGACAGACACAAAACAATATATTCTCTCAATCTATCTATCCCTAGATGGCTTTATCAGTATAAGGGGAATTACTCTTGATGCACTTCATTGAATTTACATCAGTTTACCTCCCTTGGATTTATTTACATTTGTAATTTTGTTCATATGACTTTATACAATTATAGGTAATAATAAATATATTAAGTTAAATGTTTTAAATTACTAAATATGACCCTAATTATATTTCAAATTTCTAAATATGGTAAGACATTTACTTCAATATGACCTTAGGTGACTTATTAAGGCACCCAAGTTAGAGTCATAAGCCATTGTAATCTGCCAATGGCTTGGTTGTTAATGATTGGATAAATTTCTGATCATATTACTATTCATAGTTCAAATTCATGTAAAAGTGAACACAGAATTAAACAGTTTTCCAAAATAATCACAAACCAAGCTGCGTAAATAACAATGTATACTTACAGCGCCGGCCCTCTGATTAACCAGCCCGTCAACAAAATCTCTCATTCCATGTTTTAACACTATATCAGGACGGAAGAGGAAGTCTTTCACTGTGTAAACAGTCCCAGAGATGTTAAACTCCTCCGGCATCAATGGATGCCAATGATACATGTGATTAAACTCGGCAGTAATTCGGTTAGAATACTGATGAGACTGCCCGAAAAGTAGTTCCGGCTTAAAAGTCAACTGGTAATTGTAATTACTTAAATGCTGTACATAATTTTCTACAACAATCTTTATTGTTTCACCTGGAAAAAAATAAAAGATTTTTTTAATAGAAATCTGTTCATTTATTATCAAATAGAATGGAATAAAATTATGGTCTACATACATGTAAAACAAGGAATAAAATTGTGACTAGAAATTGATACACACAAAGCAGCTTTAACCAGCAGACTAACTTTAAACTTATATTCTAATACATTAGAAAAAGCTATAATTTCTCCTAAGATAAAGAAACTTACATATCCTAAAGGAAAATCCAAATAAAAGAATTCCAACCCAATGACATTGGTTTAGAATTAATGACCAACTGAAACATTGACACTAGTTTGAGTACAACTGCTCCCCAATTCTTTAAAATGTCAAACTACAATTGGTTATACAGAATTTATTTTAGTTTGACTGTGTAGGAGGTTACAAGCTTAAAAACATACTCTGAATACTTTCCTGGAATCAACCAGTATTGAGCAGTAAGTGCAAAGTTTCTTGATCAAGAAAACAACAACTTGCCTCTGACTGGGTTCAAACCCACAGTGCTAGCAATGATCTTTAGATTACTAGTCCAATGTGCTAACCACACTGACATGCCACCACTTAATTAATAGTTGATCAGAATCCTTAAAGTTAAATACTTAGTAATATTACCTAAAATAATTAATTTGGCAGTTTGAAAAAGTCTTTCATCATCCCATTCTGGATGCTCTCCCTTTAATATATCACAGACACGATTATGTTCCCTCATCCATATTGTAGCATACATAAATAATCCAGGCAATAAACCAAAATCTTTATGTCCGAGGGCAAACTGTATTTCCTTGGGTACACTTGGAGGATAATGCATTGGCACATCCAAATCTTTGAGGTGAAGGGGCCACGACTCTTCATTTATTGTCTATAAGAAAGAAAAAAAAGAAAAATGTTACTTATGTTTTACATCAATTTTCATGAATTTCTATAGTATAAATTGTTACTTTTTCACTTTTTTACAGTTTTGTATTAAATGTTTTACATAGTATACCATATCAATATTATAACTTTTCCTGTTTGTACAGCTTTTTAGAATCTAAACAATTGTTTTGTTTGTTTAGGTTCTTTTTTGTTTGTTTAGGGTGGTTTTCTTTTTGTATTATGTTGCTTTGTTGTTTTTTTTTACTTATTCTTTTTGACATTTGTATCGAGAAAGTATGTGTGTTCCTGATCAAATATTCTTGTAAAACATATTAACAAATAACTTTAGTTTTAAAATATTTTCGAAGAGAACAGACCTTTTGCAGTAGTTTTGTGAACATAGATAATTTAATTTTCTTTTCTTTCTATTGCCATATAATTCAATTTACTGTCCTATGAAATTAACAAGTTATTATTTCAGGCACCAGCAATAACAGACTATATACAAATATGTTGTTGGCTGACTAAACTAGACTAGCAGACAATAAGAGCATGTTTAAGAATGAACATGTATTCAAAATTTATGAATATTAACTCAAATCTGAATAGTGTGTACATGTACTCAAAATCTATAGTTATCAATTCCATTCTGAATAATTCAGACATGTACAGTAACTCTAAATCTAAAGTTATCAATTCTTCACTGGTTAATGTGCACAACAAAACAACAATATTACCTGCATTTTCAATTTGCCATCCTCAAAACTTCTTAACATATTTTCTACATGTTTATTTTTACCATATACATGAGATACATCCACCTGAAAGTAAACAATAAACCTGTAATACCTACAATAATAATTTCATAACCCTTTCCCTGCTTGATTTCATGCAATGGACAATGTCCTACTTTGAATATAGGACAGTTCATTTATAGATAATAAGGGATGTCAGTTTCCAAATACCTCAAGAGCTGTTGGTAGGACAGCATGCTTGACTATTCTCAGTGCTTGATAGTAAAGGAGAATTGTTTATGTAAAATTTTAAAACGAAAGAAGCTATGAGTTAAAGAGTCTGACATCACATCCATAAGGACATGTCTGACTTTTGTCATGTTGTCTTGGCTACTATTCTTAGGATAAAGTAACTTGTATAGACTTCATTTACATTGTATGATTAAAAATCAAACCTTGATTATTTAATTGGTGTAGTCATAATTAATTGGACACTTGTCTTTTTTAAATTAGATCAATATTTTTAAGATGATCAGATTATCTATATTACCTAGATAATATCTATATTATATATGTAAATGTATGTGATATCTATATATTTGTTTCTATCATAATTGTCAAATGAATAGTAAAACTGTGAAATGCACACAAGTGGCTTATTATCTCTAATGGTTCTATAAAGGAACCTTACTATTGGGCTATCAAAAAGAAAGAAAATCTCTGTAAGTATATGAATAATGAGTATAATGTATAATATGAGAGCAATTACCCCATGTCCTCCCCACTGGAAGCCAGGACCTCGTTCGAAATCTGTCTTGAAGAACTGGTGTGTAAAATGTTGTGCAAAAAATGTGAACAAAGCATTAGAACCCCTGGGGTCAGGCTTAAACTCGGTACGCTTCATTAGTTTGTCTACTATCATGCCAGCGTCTGGTAGTTCTTTGGCTCCTGAATGAATAAAAAAACACCAAATTATGTGGATGTTTTGTCAAATTATTTCAGAATTTCTTGCATAAAATGTCTTAATGTTAATATGGATAAATAGGAAATGTAAGATCTTGATATAAATAAATTATAATATTTGTTTTCTGAGAATTAGAAAAAAGTCTCAAATTGAAGAGGTCACATATTTAAATTTTTCAGATATTCAATATGATTCAACTTGATAGTTCCAGCATGTTTGGGAAAAAAAGAACCTTAGAATACAATTTAGCTTTCTTGTTCATTTAAAGAGCAATATAAGAGCAAAAATTGTAATAGTGTTTAATGTATAGAGAAATCTTAAATTTAACAAAAGGACCTGCCTTAAATAACATTAAAATCATTGATGACATTCAATTTTAAAATACACACATTATTTGTTCATCAAAAAAGGAATAAAAAGAGAACTTACCTACTACCCCTAGAGGTGTCGGACAATCTTTTGGCACCGGGGGTAGGGCACGTGCAAAGTACGACCTGTTGCCGTAAGCCTCATAGGTAATATAGTCATGCTCCGAGGTATAGGTGGCCGGGGAATCAACCATTGCACCACGTACTGTAGATTTATAACAAATTGAAAACTTTTTTATAACATTTAAACAATCATCATTCTAAACAAGGATAAAAGGTTCAAGCCCTACAGTGGCCATGGCGGTAAGATATCACATGACACCACTGTCACACCAGTACCAGTTTAGTCTGGGAACATACTCCGAAGTGAATCAGGTAAGCTTCACATAGTCATCAATATCATGTCAAAAAATATATATGATGTTTAGATACACAAAATAAATCATCAAAAATTGTTGTAATAGTATTAATGCAAAATTATGTACATTGTACCAAGTCTATAGAAAGTGAAAGCTTGAGAACCCTAATCTGTTAACATTATGAAGTCAATATATCATTGAGATTTCCTTTTAAGGGCCAGTATGTAGCATAGTGATTAAATGTGTCTGTCTCCAAACCCAGGGGTTTAAGGTTTGAGTCCTTTTGGTGTCACCAATAATGTTTAAAGGACACAAGTACTGGTTTGCTACAAAAATATGACATAAACACAAGAGAAGGGAGCAAAAAATGCAAATGTAATGTTTAAAATGTTTTGATGCAAATTACAACAGTCATCCTATAAAGATAAAACTGCTTGTGGTCTACCAGGAAGACAGGAATACACTGAATTAGGTCTTAATATATCACATCCTAGACATCAAAAGGAAATAAGTTGTAGGTTGGTTTGACATTTCTAAAGGTTATCTTTATTAGTTTTTATTCCTCTAACACAAAGTTGTCAAAATTTGAAATTTGAAATTTTGTCTCATAACTTTAAATATTCCAAAGTTTCTGCAATTAATTTTCACTGTTATGAAAAATTTTTATTTATATAATACTAACTGTGAGGTAAATGGTTAAATGATACATTCTGAGGTAAATGTTTTTAAAAATGATACTAAGATAAATTTTAAGATGATACTAACTGAGATAAATGTTTAAATGATACTTACTGAGATAAACGTTTAAATTATACCTATTGAGGAAAATGTTTAATGATACTGTTTAAATGATACTGAGGTAAATGTTTAAATAATACTCATTGAGATAAATGTTTAAATGATACTTTTCTGAGGTAAATGTTTAAATTATACTAACTGAGGTAAATGTTTAAATGATACTTATTGAGGTAAATGTTTAAATGATACTAAAATGATGTAAATGTTTAATGATACTTACTGAGGTAAATGTTTAAATAATACTAAGGTAAATTTTTAAATGATACTAACTGATATAAATGTTTAAATGGTACTATTTGAGGTAAATGTTTAAATGATACTTATTAAGGTAAATGTTTAAATGATACTGAGGTAAATGTTTAAATGATAATAATTAAGGTAAATGTTAAAATGATACTGAGGTAAATGTTTAAATGATACTTACTGAGGTAAATGTTTAAATGATACTAATTGAGGTAAATGTTTAAATGATACTTACTGAGGTAAATGTTTAAATGATACTTACTGAGGTAAATGTTAAAATGATACTTACTGAGGTAAATGTTTAAATGATAATAACTGAGGTAAATGTTAAAATGATACATACTGAGGTAAATGTTTAAATGATAATAACTGAGGTAAATGTTTAAATGATACATACTGAGGTAAATGTTTAAATGATAATAACTGAGGTAAATGTTTAAATGATACATACTGAGGTAAATGTTTAAATGATACTTACTGAGGTAAATTCTCCCCATGACAGCATCCGATAAGCCCGGTATTCTGTTGACAAATGTCCATATCCAGCTATGTTTAGCATCTGTCAACAGATCATGTATAAAGTCCGGATCTGGCTTTATCAACCAGACTACACGTTTCCAGAAAGTGGCTGAAATGAAAAACAATATTCCAGTAAATATAATCTTAGACATGTTTTTCCACAATATTGCAATGTAAAGAACTGGGTCAATGAACTGATCCTGATTTTAATTTGGAAAAATTCATTGTGAGTTTCGAGAAATTTTAACAGAAGGATAACAAGTTAATAGTACTTCGGATGGCATCATGGGCATTGCTCCTACCCTACTCCTTCTGCCACCCTCCCCCACCCAGCCTATAGCTGCAAAAATCTGAACATTGTGCTTATTTGCAAAGGTAGTGACACAAGGTAGACAGAACTTAATTTTATTGTCTTTGATCATTGACTTAAACATTGATGAACAAGACGTTTTCTTTAAAGTTAATATGCATTAGTCAATAAAAGTTAAATGTGTCAGTGAAATTTTGTACTTTTAATTCCGACAAATTTACAAAAATAATCAAGTAAAATTTTACCAAAAGATACAACCCTAAGCCTTTTGCTAAGCAATAAAAAGTGCGCTACTGAAAAGGGCCTAGTCACACTAAATAGCACTAAAATTGAGAAAAATGGACAACAGCTATTGATATTTAAATAACATTTATATAGTAATATCAGAATGTGTAGGTGAAATTGAAATATTAATTAAAGTTATTTCAATTGAATCTTGTTTCTGAATCAAAGAGGTTTCACTACGAAACAATTACAAAAACATATTGAAAATCTAATTTAGAAATTTTTACAGTGCAGACTAAAATCTAGCAAAATCATCCAATCAGGTGATGTCATAGTATGGTTTAACATTTTACATTTGATGATTCAACCCTTTGATTTAATTGGATATAGAATGGGTATGAAGCTGTATAATATAAAAATATGTATAAATTTACAATGTCTTACGCAAAATTTGTCACACTTTGATATTAAAATATTATTAATTTGACATAAAATAAAATAATTTATATCTTACATCAGATGTCATAGCTATATATTATGGTAATTTTTAATTGAAGCAAATGCTTTAAATGAAATCACTGTCATAAATCGTAGGTGGGAACCCTATCCAATTAGTCACTTAATTCTTAAGGCTATGGAGAAATCAGTTTAAACCTTAGATGTTGCATATCAACTCAGTCAAATTGTGGAGCAGAATAGGTCTTAAGTTAAATAAAGAAGAAGAAGTTGACATTTTCTTGTTGAGAAATGTGTAAATATCATTTATATGACAAGTTCATTCCTAAAAAATACAGATTTATATGTTAAAAAATTTCTTCATCTACAGTAGTATGCCACTAAAATTCTACTAAAATAACTGGATTTACCATTTAAATCATTAAATGCCCCACAAAATTACATAAATTTAAGTGATATAAAGCTAGGTTTATATTAAAACTTTGTCATACAAAATTGTATATCAATATCTGACAGGCAATAAAACTGTTTGGCCCTTAGACAATTTCAAGATGTTACATGTTTAACTAATGGCTTACGAGCCATAAGTTTACAATAAGTTGCTGATAACATATGAGCCGCGTCACGACAAAAACCAACATAGTGGGTTTGCGACCAGCATGGATCCAGACCAGCCTGCGCATCCCCGCAGTCTGATCAGGATCCATACTGTTCGCTATCAGTTTCTCTACTTGTAATAGAGTTGGTAAGCTGATCAGACGGCGCAGATGCGCAGGCTGGTCTGGATCCATGCTGGTCGCAAACACATTATGTTGGTTTTGTCATGACGCGGCTCATATTTATTTACTATTTGTAAAGTACAGATTTATATTATCTAATACAAGTGCTTAAGGTCTCTCTTAATTTCATATGAAACTTGTTCAATTTCTAAAAGTGTTAATAAAATTGAAAATGCTACATAAGAATTTTAAACTCCTTATTTTCTTAGGTGCATCCCATTATACCATTGCAATACATACAAAAACTTTCCTTTTCATATTACAAATCAAAATATCTAGTTATGATTTATTGGAGCTGGACACTTTGTAAGGATAGCTACTACATTATGCTGATAATCTAAGTATCAGAGTTTTAATTCAAAATTTTGTACTTCTGTTGGTTGCTAAGATTTAATGTCATACTTTAAACCCATAAATCCTTCAGACAGGACATGTCTAGTAGGCATAATATGAGGAGAATATCAAACCTTAAGACAGCACATGCTTATCAGACAAAAATTGAGAAAATGTCAAACCTCCCAGCAGAATATGCCCATTACACAAAATCTTAGGTGAATGTCAAACCACCCCACAGAATATGCATATTACACAAAAGCTTAGGTGAATGTCAAACCACCCCACAGAATATGCATATTACACAAAAACTTAGGTGAATGTCAAACCACCCCACAGAATATGCATATTACACAAAAGCTTAGGTGAATGTCAAACCACCCCACAGAATATGCATATTACACAAAATCTTAGGTGAATGTCAAACCACCCCACAGAATATGCATATTACACAAAAGCTTAGGTGAATGTCAAACCACCCCACAGAATATGCATATTACACAAAAGCTTAGGTGAATGTCAAACCTCCCAGCAGAATATGCCCATTACACAAAAACTTAGGTGAATGTCAAACCTCCCAGCAGAATATGCCCATTACACAAAAACTTAGGTGAATGTCAAACCTCCCAGCAGAATATGCACATTACACAAAAGCTTAGGTGAATGTCAAACCTCCCAGCAGAATATGCACATTACACAAAAACTTAGGTGAATGTCAAACCTCCCAGCAGAATATGCTCATTACACAAAATCTTAGGTGAATGTCAAACCTACCCACAGAATATGCACATTACACAAAAACATATGTGAATGTCAAACCTCCCCACAGAATATGCACATTACACAAAAATCTTAGTAGATTGTCAAACCTCCCAGCAGAATATTAGCCCATTATACAAAATCTCCTCACTGCAGAATATGCCCATTACACAAAATCTTAGGTGAATGTCAAACCTCAAAGCAAAATGTGCCCTAGGTAAATGTCAAACCTCAAAGCAGAATATGCCCATTACACAAAATCTTAGGTGAATGTAAACCTCCCCACAGAATATGCTCATTGCACAAAATCTTAGTAGATTGTCAAACATCCCAGCAGAATAAGCCCATTATACAAAATCTCCTCACTGCAGAATATGCCCATTACACAAAATCTTAAGTGAATGTCAAACCTCAAAGCAAAATGTGCCCTAGGTGAGTGTCAAACCTCAAAGCAGAATATGCCCATTATACAAAATCTTAGGTGAATGTCAAACCTTCCAGCAGAATATGCCCATTAAAAAATCTACAGTTACTGTAAATGCATTTCCAAATTAACAAAACTCAAATTATATACATATATATCTATTTACAATGTCATACTAAAAGGTTTAGCTCCTGTAATGTCTGATTAAAGATGGGCTGGAGATAGTGTCAGTGAAATTAAATCAAGATGATTTACTTGAATACACTTGCTGTTCAGCCAAAGGGTGTGAGCTAGTTAAGTGTGAAACCTCGTTAATTTTGTAAAACATTTTACAACTTTTATGTACTATCTATTAAATGGAGCCAAGTACAGAGAATTAAGCTAAAAGACAGCCTGTACCTAAATGGTTGTCTATAGTTATAGCATCTCAGGCAATGGAATAAAATTATTATAAAATCAAGTGTAAATGTCATTTAGATGAATCAATTAAAATATTAGATAACATTTTTGTAAAATAATTGCTAAATTATAAATTTCAAAAAATAATCAATGTCACAATTATTTTGAAGCATGACATGTAAATACATTGTAGATGTCAAAAAGTTTCAGGGAAGGGTTCTGTTTCCAAACTCCAGTAAGTTCTTCCTCTACCACCCACTCACCCATTTAGAAGATTGGTGAAGTCAGTTCATAAGTAACTTAAATTTTAACACTTTTATTTTTTAACACCAAACAAAGGTACTGCATAAATGTAAAAAGAGAAAAGATATGTTGCTTCCCTTGTTCCTTCTCATTGCTTTCCTCTTACTCCCACCCACTTCTCCCATCTTACTCTTATCCCAATGCTCCTATTCCTATACTTCAATATTACTATTTATACTGCCCCTACCCAATTACTGCCATCCTGTTGCTCTCATCTTTCTCCAATTCCACTGGTACTGTCTTGCTTCCACCTACTGCTCCCATTTAACTTCCACCCACTGTTCCCATCTTACTCCCAACCTTGTTTTTCCAATTATTACTCCAATTCCACTGCCCCTACCCCATTATTACTTCAACCATACTACTCCCATCCCACTGCTCCTATCTTACTTCCACCCGCTGCTTCCATCTTAAAACCACCCACTGCTCACATCTCACTTCCACCCACTTCTCCAATCTTACCCCCACCCACAAATTCTATCCCTGTTCTTCCAAATATTACTCCAATTCCACTGCCCTTACCTCATTACTCCCACCAAAATACTACCATCCCACTGCTCCAATATTACTCCAACCCTCTGCTCCATCCCTATACTTCTATTTTACTCCCTTTCACTGCTCCAACATAAATACTCTCACCTGACTGTACACCTACTACTCTCACCATCCCCCCCCTGTTCTCACCGCACTACTACCATCCCACTTCTTCCCACCCATCTTCCATCCCACTTCTTCCTTCCGAACTACTTCTATGCCACTACTCCCAACCCACTGCATTACCCCCACTGCCCATATATCCACTATTCTCACCCGTCTGATCTCATCTCATTACTGGCATCCCACTTTTACAAGAACAATATCAAAAGCAGGTTGATAAATTACCCAAAGGGAGCATATTTGAAATGTTTGGTATTTACTTATTCAAGTTAACTCACAGTATCTTATAGGGACAAAAAAAATGATTAAATGTGTCAAATTTCAGAGTTCATAATATCACAGTAGTCATTTTGTTACAAAATTTTGTATATGATAAGATCAAGTTCTCATTTAAAATTCAAATATTAAAGCTGATGTTATGAAAAAAAGAGATTTAATCAGCTCTCTAACAGAACAGGGGAGATTTGTTTGCACAAAATAGGGTTGCAGTATTGCAACATTTTAGCTATTAAAGCACCTGATTTTAATTTTTTTTAAACAAAGTTACACTGATACTGCTATATAATTTTCCAATTTTACAGATGATGGAAGCCATTATGAATGTGGCAATCAGGCAGAGGACTAGTGGGTACGTAAGAAGAACTAGCAATTTTCCTTGAGTTAGCTCATTCCATGGCAGTGTTGAAAATGATATTTTTTATTCAATTTTGATGAAAAAAACACTTATATTAATTACAAAATCAAAACTTCATCATTGCAGTGACAGGATAAATAAAAAATCTGTAAGATATTCCTTTTGTTAAATTTTTTAAAAATTAACAAAATCCCCTGAAAGAGTCTTATAATAAAGAGCAATTATTTTATACATAACCATTGTGACTACGAAGAAAATTTATAAGTATGCCTGTAAACATTTCATCATTGGCTGTAAAATATTGTTTCTTTCTTTAATGCCTACGCTGCTGAAACCAGAAATGATTAGCCTATTATTGCCACCAGTATAGACGCAGGCTAGCCTGAAAATCTGTGCAGTCCGACAAGGCTCTATCCTGTTGGCTGAGTTACTTAAGATTTTCATCTTGATATCCCAAAAAGTGAAAATAGACAGTTCCAAAAACGAAAGTTGAACAAATTCATTTAACAATCTGCACATGTTAAGGGTAAAACTACAAAGTTACTGAAGCTTTCATAAAGGTGGAGGAAGTCCACAACCAGATAACTCTTCTTGCAATACTGCAAGCAAAAGCAGCCATATGGGCAACAACTATCAACAAAGAAGGAGATGCTTTCATAATTACACCTGGCAGAGGAAGGGTTTAAAAAGTAATATATAAAGACATTAAATCATTGATTTATATAATACATAGAAGCATACGTTTTTCACATGTCGGTCCATAGTAACCGGTTCCCTCACAGTCGCACTTGAAACTACCTACACCAGTAGTCATACATACACCACGGTTTTCACATGGAAACGAACAGCATGGATTATCTGAAATAAATATTATATTTTTGTCTATGAATTTCAACAAAAACAAGCCTGTAAGCAGGACAGAAAGATAGTTCAACTATTCTTCAGTGCTTGGTAGTAAAACAAGAGCCAAGATAATGTAGAATTTTCTTAGTTCAAAAAGGGCCATAATTCTGTCAAAATCCATGGTAGAAATACGAGCCTTACACAGTGACGTCCTATCATGCTCTCAAATAAATGGGTGAAGTTACGACCCATTCCCTTCAGTAGTTTTAGATATACTTACTTGCACAAAAAAAACTTAACCAAAGTATCATGCTCTGAGGCCTGGATAAGTATTATGGGTCTCCCTATTAGTTAACCTAAAACAGTCACATATGTTATGAGCAAAGATAACTGTAACAAGGTCTTGTTACAATAAGCCTGAATTATGCACAACAAGAGCTAATATTGTTTTAGGCTATAGACAATGAAAGGAGAGATTTCAAACAAAAAAGTATATGGGCAAAAATGACTTAACAAATCTGACATGATAAATCTTTTAAATGGTGTTCTTGTGGTATTTTTACTATGGTATGTTTGTTCACGTAAACAAAATCACTTTATCCTATAGTAAAATTATATGTGGGATTTCTAACAACTAACATAAAATGGAATTGATGGCTTTTGATATAAAACATGTAAGAGGATAATAAAAACAAGTTTCAATAGAATCTTAAAAGGCATGAAATTTATGTGTAATTTATAATTTTCAATATCTTCTGAGGCAATCATATATCTGAAATTGATTGAAGGTTTTGTGGTTTTACATAGACACAGAATTAATAGTATAAAACTGTTTAAATGCAAGTGTAAACATTGTATTAATAGATACTTTAAATAAAGCCACAAAACCAAAAAAAAAAGATTTTTTTTTAAATTAACAAACCAGTGCTAAAACATTCAGTTGGTTGCAAAGTAAACTTCTGCAATAAGACAATAGTGACACATTCTAAACAATGAAACAAACTTGTTTTATTTTTACCACATTGACACCAATAAGGTCACACTGCAACTTTCCAGCTTTACAGATGAAGTAAAACTTCAGGTGCGAGTGTAGAACCAATGACTGTCCATAAGCTAGCTGTATGTCCATGGCTAAATATAAGAGGGGCTATCAATGAGCTACATCTGACCATGGCTAAATATAGGAAAGACCATAAATATAATATGAGCCGCATCATGACAAAACCAACATAGTGGGTTTGCGACCAGCATAGATCCAGACTCTGCGCAGTCTGATCAGGATCCAAGCTGTTGGCTTACCAACTATATTACAAGTAAAGAAACTGATAGCGAACAGCATGGATCCTGATCAGACTGTGCGGATGCGCAGGCTGGTCTGGATCCATGCTGGTCGCAAACCCATTATGTTGGTTTTGTCGTGACGCGGCTCAAATGTGTGTTCATGGCTAAATATAAGAGGGACTATCAACAGGCTATATCTGGCCATGGCTTAAGATAGAAGAGACCATTAATATAATATGTGTGTCCATTGCTAAATATAAGAGGGACTATCAATGAGCTTTATCTGACCATGGCTTAAGATAGAAGAGACCATTAATATAATATGTGTGTCCATTGCTAAATATAAGAGGGACTATCAATGAGCTATATCTGACCATGGCTTAAGATAGAAGAGACCATTAATATAATATGTGTGTCCATGGCTAAATATAAGAGGGACTATCAATGAGCTATATCTGGCCATGGCTTAAGATAGAAGAGACCATTAATATAATATGTGTGTCCATTGCTAAATATAAGAGGGACTATCAATGAGCTATATCTGACCATGGCTAAAGATAGAAGAGACCATTAATATAATATGTGTGTCCATTGCTAAATATAAGAGGGACTATCAATGAGCTATATCTGACCATGGCTTAAGATAGAAGAGACCATTAATATAATATGTGTGTCCATGGCTAAATATAAGAGGGACTATCAATGAGCTATATCTGACCATGGCTTAAGATAGAAGAGACCATTAATATAATATGTGTGTCCATTGCTAAATATAAGAGGGACTATCAATGAGCTATATCTGACCATGGCTAAAGATAGAAGAGACCATTAATATAATATGTGTGTCCATTGCTAAATATAAGAGGGACTATCAATGAGCTATATCTGACCATGGCTTAAGATAGGAGAGACCATAAATATAATATGTGTATCCATGGCTAAATGTAAGATTGGCTATCAATAAGCTATATCTGGCCATGGCTTAAGATAGAAGAGACCATTAATATAATATATGTGTCCATTGCTAAATATAAAAGGGACTATCAATGAGCTATATCTGACCATGGCTTAAGATAGGAGAGACCATAAATATAATATGTGTATCCATGGCTAAATGTAAGATTGGCTATCAATAAGCTATATCTGGCCATGGCTTAAGATAGAAGAGACCATTAATATAATATGTGTGTCCATTGCTAAATATAAGAGGGACTATCAATGAGCTATATCTGACCATGGCTAAAGATAGAAGAGACCAATAATATAATATGTATGACCATGGCTAAATATAAGAGGGACTATCAATGAGCTATATCTGACCATGGCTTAAGATAGAAGAGACCATTAATATAATATGTGTGTCCATGGCTAAATATAAGAGGGACTATCAATGAGCTATATCTGGCCATGGCTTAAGATAGAAGAGACCATTAATATAATATGTGTGTCCATTGCTAAATATAAGAGGGACTATCAATGAGCTATATCTGACCATGGCTAAAGATAGAAGAGACCAATAATATAATATGTATGACCATGGCTAAATATAAGAGGGACTATCAATAGGCTATATCTGACCATGGCTAAAAATAGGAGGGACCAATAATATAATATGTATGACCATGGCTAAATGTAAGAGGGGCTATCAATAAGCTATATCTGGCCAAGGCTTAAGATAGAAGAGACCATTAATATAATATGTAAGTTTAAGACTAAATATAAGAGGGGCTATCAATAGGCTATATCTGGCCATGGCTTAAGATAGAAGAGACCATTAATATAATATGTGTGTCCATGGCTAAATATAAGAGGGGTTATCAATAGGCTATATCTGACCATGGCTTAAGATAGGAGAGACCATAAATATAATATGTATGACCATGGCTAAATATAAGAGGGGCTTATCAATAAGCTATATCTGACCATGGCGAAAGATAGGAGGGACTAAAAAGCAAATTAAAAGAGACGTCAGAAATGGCAGAGATGTCTTCCATGTTGGAAGGTTGTGAAATATTTATAGTATATTTGGAGCATAACACAGCACTGACAGCAGTGCAGTACAAGATAAAATATTAAAAATAAAGGCTTGAAACAAGGAAAGCTCAACCACTGCTTGCTCAGCATATAATATCAACTGCATCAAAACCACATTAACATTTTAATAATCTTCAGTTTATACAACATCAATTATAAGATGCATGTAATGTTTGAAATGTTTAAAATATCTTGATACTTAAAACACGCATTAAAACATCAAGATACAAACTGTCAAACAAAATACTGAAGTTTACAAGAGCTTTTACAAGTGTTTGTGAATCGAAGTTACGGCATTCATTCAAATCTTATCTAACTTGATAACATTTGATATATTTTATCTTAATACAAATTTGCGCCCAATCTATGTCGTCTTTCAGTTTGATATCATTTTTATTGTCAGATAATGTGAACAAAATTTGTATTCTATATAACAAAAATTTGCCCTATCTTGTTAATACCATCAAATTCGTATTTGAAATTTCGCTGCATTTACGATTTTTATCAACGGTAAGAATTTCGTAACAGTTTCTGATCTTATCTAAATTGCGTTAAGGACGAGATGGTTTGTCAATGTTGAGTTTCGTACCACCTTCCATTAATGTATTTTTTTCATCTTCAAAATCTAAACTTTTTTTTTTATTTTGTGAAAGTAAATAAAGTCATTTAACCGAACATCATGCATGTTGATGATGATTACAACAAACAGAAAACGTAACTCTATGATGTAAAATGTAATCATATACCGGTACAGGTAAATTTTACTCTTTTGGTACAGTATACTGTTACTCTAGACAGCCAAAATGTAAATCTTGATTTACAATAATAGTCATCTTTTGCAAGTTTTGTCATTTAATAAAAGAACAAAAGCCTTCTACATGTCATTGTAGTATAATGTACTAAAAGTATTTGCTGTTTTATGACATATTTTTATTATTTTTATGTTATGTTAATTAAGCTTTGCACATGAATATGCATATTATGTCCACTTTTGCAAGTGAATAAAATCATGCAATTGCACAAAAAACCTTTGTTTTAAAAAGTGTTTTTTATTCATTTATAATTTTTTTTAAGTTTTAAAGCTACATGATCATTTCTGATGGGACAACAATAGTAAAGGTGATGAGAAAAGAGCTGAGTGAAAAGTAACTATCTGAAAGAAACCATTTTCTTTATCTTATACGACAAAGCTGGGAATCAACTGCACAACCTTCACTCCAAAAGAATACATTCTACTATTAAGCAATAAAACCATTAAATCTTTGCCCACCTAGAAAACCAAAAGTGACCAGCCTTTGTCACCAGTATAGTGCCGGGGCCAGCGTGCATATATGTGGCGCCTCACCAAATTCTATTCTATACTAATGACAGTCTCTGATACTGAAATCATTAAAAGCTTTGAATGGACTATACAACATTCAAATTTGGGCAAGTCCATTATAGAAATACAGCAGGCTAAGAAGCTGAAGATAATGTATCATTCCAAATTACCTATTTGTTCAGTGTTGTCATCAAGAGGGTCCTTAGAGGTCCATGCACTCTCCAATAGTGTTTGTAGAAAACTCAGTCCTGAAGAAAAATAAAGGGATGACATGTTAACACTGATATATTTGACAAATGTTTACAATGTACTAACTAGTGTATCACTTTATGATGGTGAAGAGATTGTATAACTCATATGCATTGGCCAAATATTTCTCTTTCTGCATACTAAAATATATCCAACTTGAAGAAAGAGTTGATAAAGAAAACCTTCCCCATGGCTATATTGATGTTTATTTTATCTATAGTTAGTTAGCTTTCTATTTCTAGCAGAAATAATCGTTTATCAATTTACCAATATAGTGCCACATGGTTACAATGTTATTACAGTTACTAATCCTCTACTTAGTTTGTAGTAAAACCATGTGAAATGGTCATGAGAGAAACAGTCACATGGTTTGGTGTTACAGTTAGGACTTCTCTATGTGTTTTTTATCATAATTAAGTATGTGAAATTGTCATGAGGGAAACAGAGCCACATGGTTCTGTTAGTACAGTTGATAGCTCTAGACTTAGTTTGTATTAAAACTAGGCACTAGGAAATAGAGTCACATGGTTTGTTATCACAGTTACTACTCCTCTACATAGTTTGTAATTAAAACCATGTGTAAAGTTAAAGTAAATGAGAAAAAGAGTGTCACATTGGAAACTGGAAACTCCTCTATGTCTTTTATATTAAAATAAATCATAAATGGAAAAAGAGTGCCACATCAGGTTTGTTAGTTACAGTTAATACTTTTCGACTAAGTTTGTATTAAAACCATGCATAAAGGTTATAAGAGAAACAGCGTCACATGGTTTGTTAATGTAGTAATTGATAATTTTTGGAGCAATATCACAAGTTCTTATTAAATACAGCCTAATGGAATATATAACTGGGTGAAATAGAGTAAAGTAATTGTTATAAAGCAATGTTATCCATATCTAATAAATATCTTTGTATTTTCAACAGCAAAAAAAAATGACACTTAGAAAAGTACGGTTTAACTTTCATCTTTTGGTAAGAGATCAATATCATATTTCTATCAATGAGCTCCTGGCCACTCCATGTCAACTTGACTATTTAAATAATAAATCAAATTAAATATAAATACCAACTTGCAATGACACCGAGTAAATAAGAATATTAATATTTATTTTGGTATATGATAAATGGGAAATCATTTATCATCAGTTTGTTCCTTATATTATATTTATAAATAATGAATTTATGTCATACAAACAAAACTTTTTTCAGAAGCTTGTTATTTTTTTACATTTTATATTTTCTTTTAATTAAGTTTGGAGAATTCTTATTTGTTTACCATGTGTTGTATAAATAAAACTTTTAAATTGTATTGGGGGACCTCCATGGCTTTGTGATTAATTGATATGGAATTAATTTTAGTTTGATTGTATAGGAAGCTATACAATTAGAGACACACTCTAGAATCTGTTACAGGAAAACAAACCAGTATTGAGCAATGAGCTTAAACACACTACGCCACTCATGTATGCCCTTTTTAAAAATGAAAAAATGTATTCATTTCTGAGGTTAAGTCAACATTGAATTAACAACTATTATTTTAATGAAAAACTAACATTTACTTTTCTAAATTTTTTTTGGCACTGAATTTTAAAAAGATTTAAACCAATATTATGAATCACAATGAAACAGTCTACCACTGTGGAATATCAAATTTGCTGTCAGTAGCTGATACTTGAAATTTGTAAACCTAACTTTTAAATCCTATTTCATACTGTTTACTTTGGAATTTCATTAAAATATTTTCAATACGGAACAAAGTGATAAAACTCCTGATAAGTATTATATATCTGTAAATTGACAGTCAATCCTGGCAAATCACTATTTACTCTGAGTACCAGATAGAGTGTGGCCTATGATAAAGTACTATTTAATGGCACACATTCATACATTCATATTTCAAAGTGCCCTACTTTATTACAAACTTAAAACCGAGTGGCATTTAGTATTAAAAAAAAAAACTTTAAAAAAAAACCATAAAAAAATATACATGGTTGTACATATTAAAAAAATATAAAAAATTTGATGGCAATTTTCACTCTGCTAGTGTGTGTAAGGTAAAATTTCAAGGCATAACATCATGTCATATTGATAGATAAGCATCTCAATGTGGACTGCCACTGAAGCATAGGAATGTCTTTGTTGCCCCAATACTATTCAAAGAATTAAATTTTTGAACATATCTTAACTGTAACCATGTTACACACATTTTGTCCTTAATGAACTGTTCCATCTTTCATTATGGACAAAACCATTCATAATTTTTAGGGAATTTCCTTATATTGTATGTATGGACTGGCATGAATTAGTGAACAATGCAGACAAAGATCCGTTGGCATGGATGATCCCACAGATCTTGGTTTATATTTTTTATTCAAGATATATATACACATGTTAATAATTTACAATTCAAAGCAGAAAGGAATTGGACTGAGAGCTGCTATGACTCATGGTAGTCCATCCCACCGATCTTGGTCTGCAAAGGTTGCCATAGACAGAATCAGTTGCTGCCAACAGACTAAAAGGCTAATTTCATAATTCTTTTACTACAACATACATGTTTAATGGGTGTAAAATTTACTTACCTCCATCAGACAGCGAGGCATACTGTAGCACAATCAACAGTACAATTACAGAATGGGAAATTTTCATCACTCGGCAGCTGAAAATAGAAATGAAAAAATTAAAGTTAAAATAACAAAATGAAATGTTGAATAATTTATTTTAAAACCTTTTCTCTGACAGTAGCAATATAAACTTACCGTATATTTTCTGATAAATGTACCCCAAAGGCCATTATTTTTTCTAAAAGGAACGAAGAAAGTTACATATCGCCAAATTGTTTACCGTTTTCTGCTGGATTATATATTCAATTCAATTCAAAAGTTTATTGCATAAAGCATGTAAATACAATGCCTGCATATATATATATATAGCTCAATACAATTCAACATTTCATGATATGCAGCACAGAGATTACATAAAATGTTTTCAAAATAACATAAGATAAATGTTACTGAAAAAACCAGCATTTGTGAAAATTTGTGCTAATTTCCTTAAATTTATTTTGTAAATAACTGTTATGGCCTTGGTAACTCAGTTTTCTTTTCCTTTGTCAAGGAGAGAGGTTGGGCATTTATATGAGGGAGTGATGTTTATTTGAAAATATATGGCATGTGTATTATAAACTGCAGAATATGTAATGAAATTGTTTGAGTGGTAAATTGGGCACAATTCAATGATATAATTATATAGACATTTTGTGGATAGGTCGAATCTTCAAACTTAAGAAGTCATGAAAATGTCATTTGTGACGAAACTGCAAAATTTCATGCTTAACAAAATTAAGTGAATTAATTCACAGTACAATTAAACATTACAAAAAGATCTTGTAAGAATTAAGCTAAGTATTATGATAAATTTTACACTTCAAAGAAAGTACATAAAATATATGTGATTGACATACATTTTATTTCGCTCATTAATTTTTATTGATTGATTTTTACCCTGATAGCAAAATTTAATGAATATCGTTGTCTCTCTGATGATTAAATCAAAATATACATTTCCTACATCTGTAATTACATTTTTATTACTCTTTCTACGTTATTTAATTCTTTCTTGTCCTATCCTAAAAATCCGCTTTTAATTATTGATATAATATTCCACTAGATCACCGGATAACTATTCATGCATATTAAGAAATTATTAAAAAGTCTTTAACATTTTTTTTCAGTTATTGTATATCTGTATTATTACGGTAACTCAAACAAGAAACACTACCGGTATATTGCTAAAAATAACTCATGCTTGACAGGGTATATTGACTTATTTTAAAAAAAAAGTCGGTCTTACCTGACTGTTTTGACCCTAACCATGCTAAATTTATCAAATGGACTTGTCCATCTTTTAATTTGGGCAAAACCATTCCACATTTAAGGGAATATTTTAAAATATGCACTTTATTCTGAATAGCGAACAGTGCAAACCCTAACATAACCAGTCCACAGGCGTTTGGTGCTTTGATTGGTCAATATCAGTACCCACTTGACAACCCTATTAAACAATGTTAACTGCATTTTTTTTAATTTAAAATGAGTTTAATATTTGATATATGCTTTTAATTATATATCAAATATTAAAACACATTGTTTAAAAGAGTGAGTTAGCAGAGGGAAGGGTGGGGCAGGGGTGGGGCTAGTGAACAATCAACGCGCCAAACACTTCTGGACCAGACTGCAAGGATAATGGTTGGATGGGTAGAATATGTTAAGCATAGTTAGAATATGAAAGCATTAGCTTGGTTGAATAAAAAATCAAATGGTCTAATAGATAAATCAAATCTTTTATAAATTATATAAGTTTTTATGAGTGACATGTTTTCTCTTAAAAGTCATAAAAGAAATTGCATTACAATTTATCTTACCTCTATTTAAGTCACCTTACATGCACAAAGACAATAAATAATCCAATTATAAAACCTTTCTGACAGCTCTTATATATCAACTGTTTAACAAAATGAAAATATTGTCAACACATATACGGACAAAGTCAGGTTCATCAGCTCGGATATTTAACTGTGAATTTAACACAAGCAACATGCATGTTGCCTTTTATACTTCAACATATTTCCTCATGCATTTTTTTTTAAATCCCGCAAATTACTTATAATAAAAAAAACACACACACACGAAAAGCTTGTGAAATATAAAAACAATTTTACAATCAAATCAAAGTACAGTGTACGACTGTCGTGAACCTGACAAAAAAAAATTGTTTTAATTTCGTATAGGAAACTGTGAGTTACTATATATATACGTATATGTATATCAAAGCTATTCAGGTGTAAAATGGTAATCTATAGCGATCTAAACGACGATGTAAAATGCTTTTTGCAATACGGATATGACAATCCAATGTATACTGTTTGACAAAAGTTACTATCTCACTGAATGACAATTCAAATTTTTGAAGTTTAACAATTTTCACTGTTATATTACCGTAATAGTACCCTGCTGGACCGAAATTGCTTAACCTTAGCCACCAGTATCAGGGCCCATGTTCAGGAAATGGGGAGTCACGGAGAGGGGGGATTTAATTTATCCGCTATAAATATTAAATGGATATTTGTACACCTTGTGAAATGACGATATTGAGCTTTTAATGCCGGAGAGTGAATTTAGTTATTGCATTAGAGATATCATTACATATTAGTAATTTACACATATTCGATCTAAGCTTTCTGTCTGGTTAAATTTACTGATAAAAATGGAAACAATTTTGCAAATGGGGTAATTTACACTGACTGAATTTAATTCTCAAGTTTAATGGAAAATATTTTTATTTTATCATGAAAAATATTTGAGTATCTGAAAGCCGAAAATGCACCGGAATAGGAATGCACCATTTCACACTTTCAGTAGAAAAGGTCACCAGTATAAACAAAAGGGGAGACCACTCCCTTACCAATTCCCAACTCACAGCTACACTGATTGTTTACATTGCTCAACCACAAAGTCCTTAAAGTCCGCCTAACTGGTAAACCTGAATCTACCCCTGTTTGAGTATTGAGCCTGGATAAGGCCAGCATGCCCATCTAACCACCGCAGGCATTTTGCAGGCTCAAAGCATATTTTTGGTTATTTCAGGTTATTAAGATATCTAAAACAATCTGAATGGAATACTAGTCAAAAACATAACCCAAATTCAATCTTAAAATTTCATACTGGTCTTCATATCAACTTTGAATTTTGAAATGATGTATCAAATAAAATTCAGACATTTTGAGACAAAATTTATAGTATTTACTAATATGAAGTGTGATGTACAGTTACTAGCTCTATGTTAGTGTTATAACACAGTTTGGCCATAAATAACAATCTTTTTATTTCATTCAACTGTACTCAATTTGTACAAAAAAAAATTACAGTGTTTTGGCTTTGTTTCAGATACAAAAAGTATCATGTATAAAAGTATATACAAAATTTTTAATACATATAACTTAAATTACCAACGATAAAAGAACATAATATGAAATTATCTTGAAGTTTTATTTCCAATCCCACAAGTTCAAAAAAAATTTACATTTTCAAATGTAACATTTTTATTACAAACAGTGTAAATTACGGAGCAGTGTGATATACTTTAAGATTATTGGTTGCTTATTTCTTTATTACACACCTTTATGTCTAGCTAAGTTGCGTATAACCTACGTTAATAAAATGTATCCCTCAATCAAGGTTTGTTCACTGATTTTCAGCCTGTTACTTACTATACAACATGATCAAATTGATAGACACTTGCACTGAAGTTGAACCTCTATCATATAATTTCATGACTTTGTAGTTACCTAATACAACTAGTATACAAATAATTTTTAACAAGAGCTGTCAGTAACACAACTCGCTCAACTATTCTCAGTGCTTGACAGTAAGAAAAGGGAACATAACTCTGTAAAAAGATAACACAGAGTTATGGGACCTGTACCCATCATGTTAGACAATCACAGAGAACAAGTGTGTAAAATTTTGGAGATACTAATTTGCATGCAAAAACTTAACCAAAGTGTGAAGGTGACCTTGACACTCCAAGGTGAGTACAATAGCTGTCCCTATTCTTTGAACAGTCAAGCAATAAACACAAATTTTTTTCCCTTTAAGAAAAACTAAGGTATAAATCAAGACACATTAGCCTTTTTAAAATAGGAATTCAGTTTCTTATATAAAAGAACATTGAATTTGTTTTAATTAAAATTTTCCCCCATGTTTTTATCATTCAAATTATGGAAGAATATTACAAACATGTAAGATACATTTTTTATTTTTTTTAAATTAATGTTTTACCCATGTTTTTATCATTGACATTTCTTTTACAGATACTCGAAGATTTTAAATTCATCATATTACTAACTTGTAAAATATGTTTTTGACCTTTTAAGCCAGAATCTGCGCACTCAGTCAGTAATAACTTCCTCTCTCAATGTAAAGGTAGTTTGAGTTTGACCAGTTTCTTTAAGCACAATTTAAACAGTGATGCTCCAAAAACTACATCATCCTTTCACCTGCTGGAACTAAAAGTGATTAGCCACCAGTTCAGAGTAAGACCAGCCTGCAAGGCCATGCCTTCTCAAGAGACTGTATAACTGTTGGTAGCTCAGATCAATATTTGTATTTTGAAATTCTTGCTGCTTTTACCACTCCATAAAAAACGGTATTGCAAGGCTGTGCATATATTTTGAAGTGACATATAAATTTGCATTATACAAGCATAGTGTAAAGACGTGCTAAAATTTATATGTTAGTGTCACGCAATAAGCGCGTCATTGAAAAAATGATTCATTTTACTGCAAACAGTTCTATTTTGTATATGTGATAAATAATTTGTGTAGGTTCATTACTAAATTTATTGAAACTCGTTGAATAAAATAATTTTATGCTCGACAGAGGCTCGCAAAATATAATTCTATTCAACTTGTTCAATAAATTCAGTATTGAACCTACACTCATTCAATATCCCCTATATTGTTTTAAAATGTACTTTCACAAACTCAAAACAGGACAATTAAGCAGGGAAAGGTTCTTATGTTTGCAAAATATACATACTTCGTAACACTGTCTAATATACTTTACTATTTGAAATACAATAAAGATTTACCTTTACTGACTATAATATATCCTAAGTAATATCTTTTTGCTTGTAATATTCCCCTATAAATCCAAAATCTCTAAACTTTCAAATTTTATCTTTCGTGAATATCATAAAAATTTCAAGAGTTGATTTAATTGCCTGTACTATTTACAAAACTACAGCTCAAGTTTCTCCTTTGTAAGCTTAAATCAACTATTTCCATATATATAAGAACGTTTTTCTTTTAACGAAGGTGCTATCACATTTAAAGAGTAAAGATTGTCTTAAATCCTATTTATAGATAATCGTTATTATACAAGGATAGAAGCGTGCTAGGGAGTTACGGTCCGGCATTCCAACGTTACTCAGACATTCGTGTATCAGTGTCAATAGACTTCCCTACTCGACGAGACATTCTAAATTATTGCTACATACCCAACGACACTACAACCTCAAATAAATACAATATAATTCAACGACTGATCAAAATACGTAAAAAAAACTGCTCACTCCAGTATTTGCATTGTCAAGAAATATGACAAAACAAAATGCAAACTTCTATATTGGCAAAAGATAAATTTGACAAAAAATTAAATGTTTAAAGGGATATTCAGGCAAAATAATGACAAAAATATTAAAATGATCTTATGTACTCAAATCACGCTAAAATGACATTTCTTGAAGTTTCAGCATGAATTGCTGTTTAAATTCTATATATTTTGGGTTTAAAGCGTAAATATATCTATATATGTTGAACAAAATTTAGACCCGAATAGAATCACCAAATAGTTTTAAAACAAGTCACATGACTTGAACAAACCCTTGAAGTTACAATAACAAATATTATGGATATTGTATGATTAAAACAAGTCTAAGTCATTCATTTGACATGTTCTTTAACGTTTACAGAGTTCACTTTGACAACTATTGTGAAATCCTACCGCTCTAACCTGACCCACGCGGTCAAGTTAGGAAACCACCATTTTATTCTTTATATGGAGAAAAGTTTTGTTCCTTTGACTGTCTAATATATTCATTTTGAGGACATTTACAGAATAATGAATGAAAAACTCAAAACTAAGAAATGAAAATTTTGCCTGTGCCTCCCTTTAAGTCTTTGTTATTATGTAACAATATGAAATATGAGAACAAAATTTTTGAAAAATGTGTTTGAAGTAAAAATGCACTCAGTTTTTCTATAGAATTTGCATGTCATTTTCAAAAAAGTAAAATGTATTAATGTAACTTTTCCTTCTTTATTGTTTATTTTTATAAAGGATTAAAATACCAAAGCACAAAAAATTGAGCTACCAACACAACAGTAGGAGATCCATTGTCAGACTGCTTCTACAATAAAGGGTGGTAACTCTTGGATCCAGAGGTGGGGTTAGGGGGACAAGAACAAACCCCACCCCACCGGCTTGATACAATGTGGATCCCCTTTGTGATTTGGATATCAAATTATGTTGTTTTTTTAAGTGAAAATAAAAAATCAGTCAAATTTTGATTCATGACCTGCTCTGGTACACTAGTAAAATGTCACCCCAACCCCTACTTAATTGGAATATATACTACCCCTTGTCAAAACTCGTGTGACCCCCTCTAGCAAAAAATCTTGGACTCTGTTACCTAGGATAATCAATTTATTTTCATAACCAAGTCGCTTGCAACACATTAAACATTATTTCATAACTAAATTGTTCTGTTGTTCATTCTATATATTTTGTAAAGATAATGGTTGTGATCATATTGTGTCATCCGTCGGGGGGGGGGGGGGACAATTTGAGGGGATATTATACTACCCCTTGTCAAAACTCGTGTGACCCCCTCTAGCAAAAAATCTTGGACTCTGTTACCTAGGATAATCAATTTATTTTCCAGCATGTTAAGGGTTACTGTAATGCATGATCCCTTTTCCCCTTAACTGTTCAGAAATCTTTGCCATATAAGCAAGCCATCAATCATGCTTAAATTCCACTTTCTTATGATAATTTTTTTTTTCAATTTAAATGTATTTACATGTACTATTTACAATGTACCTGTATGTTTTAAATAAATCCAACTTTTATGATATCCTGAGAGAAATTAAATGTCCAATATAAGTAAAAAAAAATACACGACCTTTTTTATGGGTGAGAAAAACCTCGAATGTTTTTTTTAAATTTTTTAAAAATTTATCCGGGCGGCCCTATTTTCTATACTTTAAAAGAAAAAAAATTTAAACCAGGGGGTTTT